CAAAATGATGTATGTTATATATGCTAATATGCTTGTGGGACAAAATGATTTATATTATATATGCTAATATGCCCTACCCTCTGTGCTAGGGCTGGAGCGATAGCACAGCGGGTAGGGCGTTCGCCTTACAAGCGGCCAACATGGCCGACCCGAGTTCGATTCCTCCACCCCTCTCGGAGAGCCCGGCAAGCTACCGAGAGTATTCGATATGCCAGACACAGTAACAACAAAGTCTCCAATGGAGACGTTACTGGGCCCGCTCGAGCAAATCGACGATCAACGGGAGGGCCTTTACCTTTTATGCTAATATGCTTGTTGGACAAGGAGAGGAGAAACACACTCATGGGATACCGCTCTAGGGTGGGTCGTCCTGCTCAGAGAGGATCTGTCCTAGGAGCAGCTTTCCCTGAGGGAAAGAATTCTACCCCTATTGATTGTGACCACACCTGTAATTGTTACCACAATCCTTCATCCTGGGAGATATAATGAGACTGTAGAATGGGCAAGGGGAGGCAGAGGAGAGAGACCGGAGTGAATGGAGAGAGGATTGGAATAAACTGCAACTAAGACCAACCAGCCTGGCCCTCGTTTCCTTCCTTACCTCCCCTGGGTGGGGGAAGCAGGGTGAGACTATCACACGCGGGTGGCGGGAGAGACAGAGTCGCCACCGCAGCTGTGCCCTTTTTGAGTTTACACATCTGGCATCCCTGGGTGGGCCTGAACCACTAACCTTTCCGTTAATAGATGAAGCTGTGCCCTTTTTGAGTTTACACAGAATGCTGCATGAGAACTCACTCCTCAGCAGACTGGAGCAGGGCAGTGTCCAGCCCTGGGCCCAGTATACACTGTGACTCAGACACAACAAGGCAAGTGGCAAAGCCTTTAGAGGCTTTTTCTCAAGAGGGGTCATTTACTCTACTTGTTTCTCCTTTTGTTTCACCAGGGGGTGCTGAGGACTCACAGCTGACTCTGCACTCAAGGGTTCTCTCCTGGTGGCTCCAGGGATCAAATGGGGTATGGAGATCAAACACTCATCAACCGCATGCAAGGCAAAAACCTTACCCACTGGACTGTCTCTCTGGCCCTGAGGTGAGTAGCTTGACTTTAAAGTCTAGTCCAGTGCCATAGAGGAAAGGGGGATTTCCCATGGAGACAGCTGACGGCACACTTTAAGTAGAGAACACGCTGGCTATTTTAGAATCCAGGTCCCTAACCCATGTGGAGGATGCTAACTAGGAGGAAGCTGTCTCAACCTTGCTATGATATTTCAGGCCAACTCTCTTCCCTCGCTGGCCTCCCGCTGATCCTGCCGGCTACACCAGCACAGGTTTCTGGTGCCTTCCAGATCTGAATCCCTGGGCCTACGATTTGGAGGGATTTTCTGCCAATAGGTTTGAGGGGCCAGAGCATTAGCACAGCGGGTAGGGTGTTTGCCTTGCAAGTGGTCGACCCGGGTTCAATTCCTCTGTCCCTCTCGGAGAGCCTGGTAGGGCAAGCTACCGAGAGTATCCCGCCCGCACGGCAGAGCCTGGCAAGCTACCATGGCATATTCAATATGCCAAAAACAGTAACAGCAAGTCTCACAATGGAGACGTTACTGGTGCCCACTCCAGCAAATCAATGAACAATGGGAGGACAGTGCTACAGTGCTACAGATTTGATGGCGAAGGGGATTAGGTTTCCTAGGTGGACAGCACCATCTCGTGGGCACGTCAGAGTAATACAGTAGGGACTGGTCAGACCCAGGGTTGATGCCTCTCCCTTAGTCCCACAGGAATATGCTGTTCCTCAAACACCATCCCTGGTCCATGAGATTGGCACCACCTGGAGCTTCTGAGGTGGCAGCATCTCCCCTCCTGGGCCGGGTCCTGCCTCTTCTCAAGGTACAGGTAAGTCTGTGCACATCGTAAGAAGCCTGAAAATAACTGCTTTGCCGAAGGAGAAAAAGGACGCCAATGAATTGGGAATGTTATGTTTCATCCATATTTGACCATCAAGAAACATGCAAGTAGCCCGTTTAAATAAAATGAATCCTGCCTAGCTGACAAAAAGGGGCTTGTCCAGCAACAAAGGTTCAGTTTCCTGGGAGACTGAGCACCTGCTTTGCATGAAGGTTGGTCCCAACATCCCTGGGAGCAACCCCTCAATACAGAGATGGGAGTAACCCCCAAGCACTACCGGGAATGGTTCCCTACCCTCAGTCCCCGAAAATGTTCTTGGGAATTGATAGAGTTTTTTTTTCTTTTTGGGTCACACCCAGCAATGCTCAGGGGTTACTCCTGGCTTTGCACTCAGAAATTATTCCTGGCGGTGCTTGGGGGACCATATGGGATGCTGGGGATCGAACCCGGGTCAGCCACGTGCAAGGCAAACGTCCTACCCACTGTGCTATCACTCCGGCCCCGGGAATTCTTACAGGTTTTTAAAAGGGAATCTTTTCACCTGTAAGCAGGCATCTTCCAGAAAGAGGGGCACCTCTGAAGCCAGTTCCAAATGCACCTGCATCATCTACAATATTAGTCAAATAACCCACTGGACCAGGGAAAGCAAAATTCCAGGCCAATCTGCAGAATTCTTGTGTCCTGGCCCCCACAGTTCCTTCCCCTCGAGAGTGAGCAGAACCTGGAAGATAGTGGGATAACATTTTAAAAAAACAAATTTTGTAGGATGGCATTAAGGCCGCTAATCATTTAACTTTTAAGTTTTTTAATGTCAAATGAAGTTGACTTTTTAACCTCATCAGCTGACTCTGAACTTAAGTCTCAATTTAACTTTTAACTTAAAACTTAAATCTTTTTCAACAAAGGAAATTATACTGGGTAGACCTGATTTAATTCAGTGAACCCTAAAAAGAAATAATATCATTTAGCAACACACCCTCTCCTACTGGCTGAATCAGCAGCAAACTCATGCTAATGGAGAGGGGTTAAAAACTACCAATGGCCTTTTAGAGTTGTTTTAAGTTGCTGAATCATAAAATCTTTCAAAGCTGTTATTAATATATTCTGAGAACTAATGAAATCTGTTCAAAGGATTAATGGAACATGTGTTAACATTAAATCAATATATTGGGGATCTCAGCAGAGAAACAGACATCATCAGATGTTTGAAGAACCAGAGAGATATTTGGAGTTGAAAGTACTGTAACTGAAATTTAAGACCAAAAAAACTCACAAAGCTTCATGATGTTGGGGCTGGAGAGATAGCACAGCTGGTAGGGCGTTTGCCCTGCACTTGGCTGACACGGGTTCGATTCCCAGCATCCCATATGGTCCCCTGAGCACGGCCAGGAGTAATTCCTGAGTGCAGAGCCAGGAGTAACTCCTGTGCATTGCCAGGTGTGACACAAAAAGAAAAAAAAAAAGCTTCATGATATCAACAGGTTTGAGATGGCAGAAGATGTGAAATGAAAAGATTACTCATTAGACATTATCTAACTTAAAGAACAGAGAAAGGAGCAGCAAAAGCTAAGACGAAGACCATCCCATATTGACTTTTTAAAGCTCTTTTTCTCAAAATCTCAGTGAATCCCAAGGATGATAAACACAAATCCACTACACCTAGACATCTATTCTTTTTTGTTTTGTTGTTTTGGGGCCACATCAAGAGACGCTCAGGGGTTATTTCTGGTTCTGCACTTAGGAATCAATCACTCTCGGTGGGGCTTGGGGGACCATCTACGATTTCAGAAGATGAACCCAGGTCGACTGTGTGAAAGGCAGTGCCCTTCCCGCTGTGCTATCACTCTATGTTTACACCAAGAGACATACTAAACTGTTAAAACACACACACACACAGAAAAATCTTAAAGCAGCAAGAGAAAAATGACTCGCTACATATAGGCAAATGGCACATATATGGGTAATATAAGAGAATGTGGGGCTGGAGTGATAGCATGGTAGGTAGAGCATTTGCCTTGCATGTAGCCAACCTGGGTTCAATCCCTGGCACCCCATATGGTCCCCTGAGCACTGCCAGGAGTGATTCCTGAGTACAGAGTCAGGAGTAAGTCCTAAGAACTGCGGGAAGTGGCCCCAAAACAACAACAAAAAAGTAAGCAAAATAAAAAAAAAATATTCCATGATATCACAGTGGGGGTGGGAGGGTTACAATTCTACTGATGCAAATGTGCTGTCTTTTACTGGAAATAACAGGAAGAAGTTGAAAAGAGTGTGATAAGTTCAGAAAGCATATTATGGGAACCCCTGAAAAACACGGCTATGAAATCCACAGAAAACTTTCTCTTCTCCACGAGACTGACAAAGAAGTGGGTGTGGCCTCCACCAAAATAAATAACGAAATAGCATTTTTTTTTCTTTTCGGGTCACACCTGGCAATGCACAGGGGTTACTACTGGCTCTGCACTCAGGAATTACCCCTGGCGGTGCTCAGGAGACCATATGGGATGCTGGGAATCGAACCCGGGTTGGCCGCGTTCAAGGCAAACGCCCTACCCTCTGTGCTATCGCTTCAGCCCCACTAAATCACCTTTTTATTAAATACGTAAATACGTCAGTAATCTCTCAATGCCCAGAAGGAACCAATGCCAGATTTTACCTATCTACAGGGAGGAAACACCCAACCCAGCGTGTGAGGTAGTACCAAGGGATGCAAAGTACATGCCGTGAGTCTGATTTCCTGGGAACTCATGCAGACATGCCCTGGGAACTACTGCAAATACCAACTTGAATTATATACCTCTTTTCTAGAGGAAATAAAACAACACAATAGGAAAAAATAATAGAAAAATATTTGAAAATTTTAATTCCCTGAAAACCACGAGTGAACATTTGATGGTTACTGAAAACGGGGGTATTTGGGAACCGTGGCAAGTGTTTCCAAACCAGTACCAAGTGCATTCACAGTATGCACCGAATCCCACCCCACCTTAACCTACGGCATCGGAGGCAGGCAGCTGAGTGGGCGCTCTGTCGGGGAGCCCGGCCCCTCTCTGCTGGGCCCAGGAGCTAGGGCCCTCACTTCCAGTGTGCTCCCGCCTGTCATAGCATCTGTTCCTGGAAGAACCACTGCTGACGGCTTGAGAGGGTGCAGTCCCGTAAGAGTGGGACAAACTTGTCGTTGGATTCCTTCTCGGCCTGAACACATTTCTTCGACTGTTCGTGAAACAAAGAACCATCCTAGGAAAGATCACAGGCAATTTCAGAGAATGACAAGTGATTGCTCACAGGATTTTTCCTGAAAATGTGTTCTTGCAGGGCCGGAGCAATAGTACAGCAGGGAGAGCATTTGCCTTGCACATGGCTGAACCGGGTTCGATCCCTGGCATCCCCGATGGTCCCCCAAGCACTGCCAGGAGTCGTTCCTGATTGCAGAGCCAGGAGTAACCACTGAGCATCGCCAGGTGTGGCCCCCAAACCAAAAAAATAAAATTAGAAAATAATTTTTTTTAAAATGTTTTCCTAAGCCTGTGGATCTTTTTTTTTTGTCCTTTCAGAAATATATATATATAGAAATGTCTGCACTGGGTGAAGAAACCCAGAAGGTCTGGGGCACAGAGGTACAGCCTGTCATACAGCCTCCCTCTGACCCAAGAATCATCACCCTTCCAGACTCCACTTCTCATTCCTAACTGTAACATTTTTCTACCAGAAAGTGTCCTCTACTTTCTTCTCATACATAGAATGAACCCTTTGTAAGTATGACAGAAGAATCTTCCCATCCCTGGGGCCAGGCTGAGAACGAATCCAAGGAAAGAGGACAGGTTTTTTGGGGTTTTTTTTTGGTTATTTTTCCTTTTTCATTCTTATTATTTGTCTCCTCTACAGTGCTCAAACCGTGCTTGAATGAGCCAAAGGTACAGCCGAATTACAAATCACCTCAAGAGTCCACAGCAGAGGGGGTCACAGCCTGAGGGACCTAGTGCCTCTTGGGCCTGCATCCACTGCCCGCTCCAAATCCACAGTGATGGAGAACAGACCCCAGCGGGGGTAGTGTACACTGCAAGGAACATTTCTGTGGGGGGTGGGATACTAGGGTCCTCAGGGGTCACTTCTAGAGGAGCCTGGGTACCAGAGGTGGTGCCAGGGATTGAACCAGGGATGGCTGCCCACAGGACAAGCACCTTAGGAAATCCCTGCCTGGCCCTGTGCTACAAGTGACAACTTAGCGCCCCTGCCTGGGCTTGACAGCTTCCAAGGAAGCTGCCGGCTATCCACCGAGTCCTTCCTAGAGTTGGCCAAAGCTATGGGTACTGCCCTCGTTTTATTTGGTTCACCTCTTAAGTTATTTATTTACTGGAGGGGGTCCTCCAGACCACTCTTGGGATAGAAAACAGTGGAGATTTGGGCCAAGCAGGCCATCTGCTTGAATGCTAAGAACTGAGGAGGTGATGCTTAGGTCCTGCAGTGCTGGGGGCCACCAGGGCCATCCCAGTGATGCTCAGGACCTCCAGGGCTGCAAATGGTGAAGCTCAGGAGGGGCCACGTGGGATAAATCCAGGGCTAGGTGTGTGCTTTGGTGACCCCTGTAACCATCTCCCCTTCCGCTCCCCCTGATTCCAGAGCTGGGGAAAATGGGGGTGAGGTTTACAGAAGTAGAACAGTTTCCCCACCACCCCAACCCTCCCCCTGCAGGATCTGCCCTCACATCTGCTTTAAGGAGACCCCATTCCAGCAACAGCAGCAGCAGCCCCCAGGCTGGTCTCAAGCCCCGCCCAGCCCCCAGCAACTTCAAGTGAACAAGAGAAGACAGGCAAAGCATTAGGGATCCTGCAAGACAAAGGCGCCAACAGTTCCCCATCCCACCCCACCCCCATTCCCAGGTGTCCCTTATCCCAGCATGCCTGGTGCCCGCTCCTCCCTGAGACTTCCAGGGTCTACTACAGCCCCAAGACTGACAGCACAGATGACACTGCCCACTCACCGGGTGCAGGAGGAAGTAGTGGTTCTCGGGGACCGGGTCCTGGCAGAGCTCCATGATCAGGCTCTCCCCGCCCGCCTCCACCGCCAAGCACCCCTCGGGCTGGTGGGTGTTGTAGCAGATCTCCTTCCGGGATGTATACTCGAAGAACTGCAAAGGAGCCGTTTGTGGGCAACGGTTACTGTCGGCCATGGAGAAATGGACGGACACCAGGCGGGATCAGAGCGCAGGGGCCAGGCAGAGAGCCTGAGTGTCCAGTCTTGAGGGTCTGGGAGTGCCTGGCCAGAGTTCCCCAAGGCCCCCTTCTCATGCTCTGCTTCTTCCCTGGGTGTTTGAGACCCCACGCTGTCCCTACCCTTGAGCTGGCCAGAAAATGGACGGTTTCAGTAGCCGAGTGGGCAACTCTGAGGCCTGAGCTGCCCTTTCTCTTCTCTGGGCTTTTCTGCCTCTTCCCGGCAAACTTGAGGGAGTTTGATCCAAGGCAATGGCACCGTGGAATCACTAAAATGTCCTGTGCAGGCAGGAACTGCACTGCCAGGGAGAGGGCAGGCCAGGGTCACACAGGGAGACAGGGTGCTGGAATCGAGCATCTCCGGCCAAGTAGGTGCCCTCCTGAGCCGACCCAGATCTGCAGGGTTTTCCTTTTTCTTCCTCTAACTGTAGGTATTGGTGCACGGTTAGTCATAACTGCACAAACGGGTTTCTCTGGGTCCTATCGGGCACTGCTTGCTTCGTTTTCTATTTCCTAGATGTTCTACAATGAGTTGTATTACCTTTGCAGGCAGAGAATCAGTTCATCTCACTGCTCCAGAATTACATGGTGCAGGGCCAGAGGGATAATACAGTGGAGAGGGTGTTAGCCTTGCTGACCTGAGTTCAATCCCTGGCATCCCATATGGTCCCCTGAGCACTGCCAGGAGTGATTCCTGAGTGCAGAGCCGTTAGTAACCCCTGAGTAACCCCAGGTGTGACTCAAAAACAAACAAAGAACTACATGATGTGAACCACCAAGAGGCCAAAAGGCACAATATTCCCAAAAAAGACATCTGAGCATGCATGGATCATGCAAGAGGAAATCATCAAGTATAAACCATAAACATTCAATGATGACAATTAGTTAAAACACAGAAGCCAGAGTCTGTGCATAGGAGAAAGAGGGACAAGAAACTCATCTTCATCCGAAGGCGGTTTCTCCAGTTCCTCTCGGGCATATTTGCTTCACTTTCTATTTCTCAAATATTTTACAATGAGTCTCTATTACCTATATAAATTGAAGAGGTCAAATATTCACTTTTTAAAAAACACATAGATGTGCTGAAAGTAGATAAAGGACCAAACATAATGGCCTCTCAGTATCTGTACTGCAAACCATAATGCCCAAGAGCAGAGAGAGAGTAAGAAGGAAATTGTCTGCCATAGAGGCAGGGGATGGGGGTGGCAGGAGGGACACTGGGAACATTGGTGGTGGAAAATGAGCACTGGTGGAGGGATGGGTGTTTGATCATTGTATGACTGAAACTCAATCATGAAAGCCCTGTAACTGTATACCACAGTGATTCAATAAAAAAAATTAAAAAACAACAACACACATAGATTTTCCCCAATTTCCCTCTTTAAGAGGCTCCCAAGACCTTGAATCCAGGGCCCCCTGCTTCCTTTTTCCAGAGAGAAGCGTCACCTACCTGGTTCTGGCCCAGGCCGTGATAGGTGTACGGAATAACCTGGTGCCCTACAATCTGGTTTTCATCAGGAGGATTATAGTCAAAGCAAAGTCCTTGCAGTCCTTTATTGTGGAGCTACCAAGAAACATAAGGGGAGTTTCCAGTTCAGGTTTACACACAACTGAGTCAACCCAGGATGCTGCGGGAGGAGAAACAGCAAGTGAGGAGGGCCCGGGACAAGAACTAGGCCCAAAAGTAAGAGCTTCTGGGACCTGAGCGATAGTACAGAAGGTCAGATGGCTGACCTTGCACATGGACAAACACCGGCACCCCACAAGACCTCCTGAGCACCGCCAAGAGTGATCCCTGAGCGCAGAGCCTGGAGTAAATCCCTGAGCACTGCCAGGCATGGCCCCCAAACCAAAAATAAACAAATAAATAAGAGCTTCTGATATTTTTACCTATTATTAATTTATTCATTTTGGATTTTTTTTTGGGGGGGGAAGGAGGGGACCATCACATCTAGCAATGCTCAGGGCTTACTTCTGGCTCTGTGCTCAGAGATCACACCTGGTGGTGCTTGGTGGGGAATCCTATGGGGTGCTGGGGATAGTGCCCAGTTTGGTCACGTGCAAAGGCCTGAAGAGCATCATGTCCCATGATCCCCTCCAGGGCTGCGCTTGGACAAAAGAGAAATGCAGTGGGACGGGGTGGGGTGGGGATGCAGGAGACAGAGGCAGGGTGAGCAAGAGTGACACACTCCCTGGGGCAGGCAGCCCACGGCGGCCTCCTGATGCTCTCAGCACCTCGGGAGACCTGGACACTTCACAGTGGCCAAGGATTTGAACGTATTCAGAGCCCGCTGGGCGCTGACAAAGGGCTTCCAGAATGGGGGAAGCAGCGTCGCCAAGCCGTGCAGCCCAGGAGAGGGGAGTCTCTACCTTGGCGTGATTTCTCTCAAGAGTGAATGGCGCACTGGGGCCCGAGAGGGTCTGGGGGGTGAGGGCACTTGCCAGGCAGGCAACCAAGCCTCAGTCTGGCACCAACAACATCATGAGTGACCCCTGAGCACCACCGGGTGAAGCCCAACCCCAACCCCCACAGCCCAAATACTTCCCATTTGTGTGCAAGGGTTTGGAGGTGGGGCGGAACGGGTGTTTAGGCCATACTTCGAGGTACTCAAGGGCCACTCCTGACGGTGTTCAGGGGACCACGTCTGGTAAAGGGGATCAAACTAGGGTTGGCCATACAGAGGGCAAAGCTTAACCTTAACCCCGGGACTATCTCTCTGCCCCCCCCAAAGAATTCTTTTCTCTTTCTTTTGGTGAACAACAGAAGTGACTCTCCTTTTCCTGCCCCATCCTCCTGTACCCCCCCACTGGTCCCCAAGGACCCCTGCGGTGGGAATGACTAACTGGCCCAGACACTGAGACTCGGGTGTGAAGTGATGTGATGGGTAGAGGTGGTGTGGAGAGTCCAGGCAAGCCTCAGTCTCCTCATGCACAAAATCACAGGCAGAACCTGACTCTCGTTCACATGCTCCCACGTGAGCGAGCTGAGAGCCAAACCCAGCCGGGGGAGGGGAAGAGCCGGGGAGAGGGCCGGGGCTGGGGAGCCCAAGGGACCCCATCGAGGACCTGCCTCATGCAGGGCGTGGGGACCCTGCCGGCAGCCCCCCCGGGCGCAGCCCTCTCACCATCCCGAAGCAGCCGGGCCGGTCCTCGGGCACGTGCAGCTCAGGATACACGTTCTCCAGGAACCACTTGAAGTCCATACACTTGAGCTTCTCACGGAGCTGCTGCCTCTCGGTCACATCTCCAAAGGACTCCTAAGGGGGGTCCATGCGGTCAGCCTGAAGTTCCTCCACAGTCCCACTCCACCCCACCCCAGTCCTGGGGCGTGATGATGCCCCCAAGCCCTAGCTGTGCAGGTGTGGGTGGGTGCCTAGGGAGAGAGCTGTGGCAGCCGGGGTACCACCCCCCACACACACACACACATGCGCGCGCACACACACACAGGGTTCCCCGTTGCCCAGCTCCAGCCTGGGGAGACCCAGTGCACCTCGATGGTCATGAAGCACCTAGGACATGATGGGAGCCCCAAACCCCAGCCCTGTGGGCATCCCTGGACACACAGCACTTCTTCAATGGGACAGATTGAGGAAAGCTGGCTGAGGTAGACACGCATGCAAAGCCAAGAGACGGGGCTGGGATGAGATGAGATAGCGCACATATGCATGACCCATCCCCGGCACCACACACACACACACACACACACACACACACACACACACATACATACTCTGTGTTGAAGAGATAGATCAATGGTCAAGAGCATATACAGGAGGCCCAGGTCCGAGTCCCGGCACGGCAGGGAACCCCCAGCACTGAGTCAAGGGTAGACGCCAAGCACCTCCAGGTGGGGGTCAAAAGTAAAAAGGAACCAGAGAGCTCATGCAAAGGGCAGGGCGCTTGCCTGGCAGGTGGCCACCCTGCCCTGGTCCCTGCCACCTCATTTGGTTCCCAGAAAAAAAATCACCAGGCATGATCCCTGAGTGCAGAGCCTGGAAGAGGCCCTGGCGACCATGGCATGGGGCCTGACCTCCCCTCCACGACAGAAATACCCACGATCTGAAGAACATGCAGTGGCTGGAGGTAGCCGAAACCCAGCCCTGATTTTCCTAGAAGCAACAAGCTCAGGGTCCCCCAACCTGGGGTGGGCAGCATGAGCTGCTGGGTGTGATTCTCAAGGCCGGGTGGGCATCAAGAGACATCAGCAGAGGGTCATCACAACCATGGAGGAATCAAGCAGTCCCCCACTGGCCTCACCAAGGCCCACCGCAGCTTCTGCCTCCGGAAGTGGATGTGCGGGCATGGAGGGTGGAGGGAGGAGGGAGGAGGAAGGGGGGGGTTGGTTCTGAGGAGGCCTGCAGGGGTGAAGGCAGACGGGGCGGGTGGGAGGAGCTCACCAGGCGTGCGTGGGGGTTGCAGTGGTAGAAGAGCTCCTTGAACTCATCCAGCCACACTTCGGCAGCGCGGACACTGTTGGCCAGAGCCTTTTTGCGTGAGTAGGGAGCTTGCTTGGGGAAGACGTGGCCGACGTGTGAGCAGGGGTGTGTCTCCAGGGTCCCACCGCACTGCCAGATCTGCAGGGCAGCGGAGTGGCTGGGTGAGGGGAGCGGGTCCATCGGCACGGCTGTCCCTTGAGGACAGAGGCCGGGCACCAAGCATCACCCAAAGAGACACTGCTGAGAGTGCACCCTCCAGGGCATGAAACAGGCGACCCCCCCCCACCCCACTCCTCACCTCACCGCCCATCCCCGCCTCACCCACCCCCATGCACACGCGGGCTCCAGAACGCAGCCAAAGAACAAGGGAGCGGCCCCAAGGTCTAGCCACCAGAACCAAGACCACAAGCCCATGCACTGCTTGCTCATGCGCGGGGCTCACAGGGCCCAGAGTGGGCCCGGCCAGGAGCCCGTGGGTGGGTGACAGTCCACACGGGCGGATTACTTGATCTCCTAGCCAGAGAAGAGAGGAAAGCAGCTAGGAAGGAGAGAAGTTGGGAAGGGGGAAAGAGGAACTGCCAGACACAGGAAGAGCAGCCTGGCACCTGGAGGAGAGGCAGAAAGACCATTAAAAGCGCACCTCAAAACCCAACGAGGTAGACTCATGCAAGGGCAGAGGGGTGTGAACCACCACACCCCACCACTGGCCCCCAGGATGAACCATCCAGAAAAGCAGCTGAAGCGCTGGAGACAGAGTACAATGGGGTTGGGCACCTGCCTTGCATGTACCTGACCCAGGTTCAGTTTCTGGCAGCTCCGACCATCCCCTGAGCACCGCCAGGAGTGAGCCCTGAGTTTGGGTTTCAACCAAATTCAAAAAGAAAATTTTTTTTGAAAAATAAGACCCAAAAGGACAGTACCTTACGATGGGAGAAGGAAAGCCCTGCGTGGAAGATAAAATTTCTATTTGGTTCACTCTTTATGCAAAGCTGGGATGTTCTGTTACTTTTCCCTCCCGTTGATCGTCGATTTGCTCGAGCGGGCCCAGTAACGTCTCCATTGGAGACTTTGTTGTTACTGTGTCTGGCATATCGAATACTCTCGGTAGCTTGCCGGGCTCTCCGAGAGGGGCGGAGGAATCGAACTCGGGTCGGCCATGTTGGCCGCGTGTAAGGCGAACGCCCTACCCGCTGTGCTATCGCTCCAAATTCCAGGGGCCAGAACACTAGTACAGCGAGTAGAGCACACTGCCTGGCATGGGGCCAACCCAGGTTCAATCCGCGGCATCCCATATGGTCCCCCGAGCACAGATAAGAGTCATCTCTGAGGGTAGAGCCCGGTGTAACCCCTGAGCACCACTGTGTGTGGCCCCAAAACAAAACAAGCAAGCAGAAAAGATGAAAAAATTTCTCACAAAAATTAAACAGAGGGGCTGGAGCGATAGCACAGTGGGTAGGGCGTTTGCCTTGCACGCGGCTGACCCAAGTTTGATTCCCAGCATCCCATATGGTCCCCCAAGCACCGCCAGGAGTAATTTCTGAGCACAGAGACAGGAGGAACTCCTGAGCATCGCAGGGTGTGACCCAAAAAGCCAAAAAAAAAAATTAAACAGAAATTTTTAACATCATCAAAAAGCACGACCAATGGCATATGGTCTTGAAATGTAATATGCCAGACACAAGTTCATTGGGAATCCCACGGAAATGGCGGGGGTTCTCACAGAACTGTCACTCGGGGATTCTGAGGGCAGAGGGCGGACTCAGGGGGTCACTCGTTTAGAATGTGACTCTTGCTCCGGCCTGCACGTCCAGCCACTGAACCTGACCCCTTTAACAAGCTCTCCCGAGAATCCTTCTCGGTGTCAGACTCTGAAAGTCACCCTGCTACATACATACAGAGGCGACTTCCTAAAGAGCTCAGCAATTCTGGCGACCAAAGGTGGACCAGGAGGCAGGATGCTGTGTCTGGGGCCAACCTCGGCCCAGGGCAGCAGAGGGAAAGAAAAGAATCAGGGGACCTAGGAGGTTCCTTCCCTGCCTCCTGCTTTTCTACTTAAAAGCACGTTCTGTGAGAAGGTCAGATGAGAGAAGCACATATATAGGCTGTCCACGTGTCCACTCTCAGGACACTGGACAAAAGGCCAAGGCGGGGGAAAGCCCAACAGGTTTTCATGAAATCCAGAGAGACAGAGGCATGGGGAGAGAGAGAGAGAGAGAGAGAGAGAGAGAGAGAGAGAGAGAGAGAGAGAGAGAGAGAGACAGACAAGCACGGCTACAGAAAGAGAGACAGACCCGAAAGGAGAATTCGAGGTTTTCTCCGCCCCAAACTTCCATTCCTGTATCATAAGACCCCAGATACTGAAAATATTTCTTACTCACAGCAAACAGCCCACCAGCCATTGTCGGGGACCTGGAAGAGTTGCAACACCTGCGTCTCAGTGCCGGCCGCAGGAACCCTTACCCAGGCCTGATCTGCCTTCATCAGTCTGGGAGCACTGGTGGTGGGGGGGCTCTGCTGGGAGTCCTAGCTGGGGAAGCTCCCAGACCCCTCCAAATAATCACAGAACTGCGTGTGATGCATGTGATCACGAGGGGTCAAGGGCAGGGACAGCTGTTCCAGGGCGGAGAGGGTACAGGCCCGGGGCGTGTCCAGTACAGAGGAATGAACGGTGCTGGGAAGGCCTCAGCATGGGCAAAGTCTAAGCATGAGAGGACCCCGGCAGCTGCAGATGGACCCGGAGAGAGGGCGGAGACAGCACATGGCTGGGAGGGTGGCGGGGTGGGCGGTGGTGGTGGTCTCACAGCAGAGCCCAGGCACTCACAGATGCAGCTGGGGGCTGCTGGAGGCCATGAAAGATGATTCTAGCACATTTTCCTGAAGCCCTCGATTCCCTCAACCCCACTGAGCAGGCATGGCATCTTCCCCGGCCCCCAGAGGTGGCTCAGGTCGAAAGCTGGAAGGGAAGCACCCCAGAGTGCAGATGTGGGTGTGGGAAACTGGTGGCAGCCGGGTCCCTGTGGTGTCACTGGGGGGTCCTCCCAGCACTGCTGGCTCAGAGTACACGGGAAAAGGCCAGTGGGACTCCTTGGTGGGGGATGGAAGAACAGGAGGGAGGGAAGACCAAGGAAGGGAGAGAAGAGAGGGAAAAGGGAGGGAGAGAAGGAGGGAGGGAGAGAAGGAGGGAGGGAGAGAGAGACGGAGGAAGGAAGGAAGGAAGGAAGGAAGGAAGGAAGGAAGGAAGGAAGGAGGGAGGGACAGAAGGAGGGAGGGAAAGAAGGAAGGAAGGAAGGAAGGAAGGAAGGAAGGAAGGAAGGAAGGAGGGAGGGAGGGAGGGAGGCAAAGAAAAAAGGGAGGGAGTGAGGGAGGGAGGGAAGGAAGGAAGGAAGGAAGGAAGGAAGGAAGGAAGGAAGGAAGAAAGGAAGGAATGGGGGAGGGAAGGAGGGAAAAGGGAGGGAGGGAGGGAGGGAGGGAGGGAGGGAGGGAGGGAGGGGTGCCAGCATGAGAGCAATTTCACATGGCTTTAGGGTATAAGTCTAGGGAACAGGGTGACTGAAACACGCAAGAAAGCTGAGATGATGTGTGGAGTTCATGCACAATTCAATCAGCTAATCAGTGGCTGAATAAATAGCAGTACTCCTACATTAAAAAAAACTGAGATGAGACTGTGGGAGGGGCAGGCAACTGACCATGAAGCTGCTGCATTTGTCCATGTGTGTGGGTTTGTGCACATGTCTTCATATGTGTGCACTGGGGGAGGGGGTTGGGGGGGGAGGGAGTATGTCTCCACATCACAGGCTGCATCTGTGACCTGACACATGATCCCTCCTCCTCTGCCTCAGTCTCTAAATCTGCTGTGTGAGGAGCAATGCCAACGGACCCCCAGTGGCCACTCCAGCAATCCGGGTGTCACCCTCAATCCGTCCTTTTTCCCAGATGTCAATCAGCTTCTCCAAATCCCCCCACAGCCCCGGAGGTCCCCCCACCCCCCAGTCTCAGCCTCCGTCTTCTCCTGCGCCCGCATTTCTGATGGGGAAGTCTGCAGAGCCTCCTAACACATGCCTGGTCCCTGCACCCCATCCTGTGCCCACCAGCTCCCTCACCACGAGGCACCAGGAGTAATTCCTGAGTGCAGAGCCAGGAGTAACCCCGAGCGTCACCAAGTGTGGCCCGAAAACTAAGCCAAACAAATGAAACAGAACGCGAGCAGCCGGGCTCAGACCCAGGCTCACCCACTGACCAACGCTGGCTCTCGGCCGCCCTCACCCTGCGCCCTCACCCATCCCCTAACTGGCTTCAGTCCCACAGAGGCCTGCCACTAAGTGCTCAGAGTCGTCACCATGGAGTCGCCACCTGACCCAGAACCCCACGCCCACTTGGACAGCCGGAAGTGGCAGCCAGCCACCTCGGGCCCTGGAGACTGGCACCAGTCCAGGGGGCAGGGCACCTGTGATATCAGTCCTCCCCGGGGCATGGCACACAACTCCTGGACGGCGGACACACCCACCGGAGGTGAAGGGGCCAACAAAACCGGCCACGTTGACACAAGGCAGAATTATGGGTTCCCAAGGCAAACATCTCGGGACCGGCAAGAAGGCAAACGCGAAGGGACAAAGTGTGGTGGCCTCATTCGCGTGAGGCGTCTGGAAGGGGGAAAGTTTTTGTGGGGGTGTGTTAGAGGCCATTAGGGGCTGGGGTTGACACACACCGCCTGACGGTTGGAGAGATTCTGCGAGGTCGAGGGAAAAGCGCGCTTGAGTCTCCCAAGTTATATATTTAAGAACGGTCAGAGCAGTACATTTTAGGATACATACTTCACCCTATTTTTATTTATCTTGTTTTGGCTTTGGCTTTGGGATCACACCCGGCAATGCTCGGGGGCAACTTCTGGCTCTGCACTCAGGAATCACTCCTGGCGGTGCTCGGGAAACCATAACAGGGTGCCTGGGGGATCGAACCCAGGGCAAACTCCTGCAAGGCAAGCGCCCTACCCACTGAACTCTCTCTCCAGCCCCCTCACCTTTGTTTTTAAATAAACAAAATAGGCCAATGAATATGAACCCCACACTTAGAGCGGGGTGGGTGTAGAGTAAAAAAATAATCAGCAGATGCTTTAGAACAAAACCAGGTGGGGCCCCAGCAAAGCATCCCTGCCCTCCCGCGGGGTGTCTGCTGCAGTTGGGGGGGTGGGTGTTACGCTCCCAGCCAGTCCTGACCTGATGACATCGATGGGGGACTGCATCCGCTTCCGCTCCCGCTCAGGGACCACGTGCCACGTGAACACCAGGCACCAGTGAAAGCCACCGATCTGAGGCTCTCCGGAGTTGCCCAGGTACTCAAAAGTGTTCCAGTCAATCATGTCGATCACGGGGCACACCACCGCCGTCTCCTCCTCCCCGATCCTGCAGTGACCACACACACACACACACACACACACACAAACACACACACACACACTCACACACCACCCAGATATGGCCAGGACCGGAGTGACCGGGAACGCCCGCGCCCCTTCCAAGCCATGCTCGCTCCCACTGAGGCCCAGTGTGTGCCCTCAGGTCCCCTGCTTCTGGACCCTGCATGGCATCGGTCCCCAATGCCACCCTCCAGCCTGGGATTCAGAGGGAGAGCGAGACACGACGATGGCTCTGCTCTCAGCCCCTGGCACTGGCTTCGGCCCCTGGGAGTCCAGCTGCTGGGACCCTCTTTGAAGCTGGGGAAGAGAAAGAAGCCATGAAGGGAGCCAGAGTGGGTGAGGACAGGGATGGGGAGGGCAGAGAGCAGCAGGGTGAGGCTGGGGGCCGGATGATGGACACCCACACCTGGGAGAGGAGACAGTGGGTGTGTGTGCTTCCAGAGGCCAGCTGCGCAGACCCTGAACCCCCCCGCATCCTTGTCCACGCCACATGGGGGCACAGCCCACCTGGAGAAGTCTGGGGGTGGCCGACAACAGTGATGCAGCATCAGGAGGGAGGAAGTGGAGGGAGTAAGGTGGGTCTGGGGGAAGGGCAGCCTGGAGTGGTTCCCCTCCCCCCTGCATTTAAAACCCTTTCAAAGAATGATACTTAAAAGCGTAGTTGAAGACTACAGGGGTAAGAAGATAAAAAATAACCCAGGCGAGGGCCATCTGCTTCCTGTCCATGATTCTGCTCATGGTTTCCTAGTGACGCTAAGGAAGGTGGGGGCCAGAGACACAGGACCCCAGGGAAGGTGCCTGCCCGACAGGTGGCTGCCCTGGTTCAATCCCCGGCACCCCATGTGGTCCCCTGAACACCACCAGGAGTGATCCCTGAGCAGAGCCAAGAGTAAGCCCTGAGCACTCACGGGTAAGCCCCTTCACACACACAACTCCCCCCCAAAAAAAATACAGGGGCTGGAGCCATAACACAGTGGGTAGGGCTTTTGCCTTCCACGCGGCTGACCCGGGTTTGATTCCCAGCATCCCATAGAATCCCCTGAACACCACCAGGAATAATTCCTGAGTACATGAGCCAGGAGTGACCCCTGTGCATTGCCGGGTGCGACCCATAAAAGCAAAAAATAAATATTAAATAAATACATAAGAGAAATTACTGTGAATCACCATTTCTGTGGGTCCCTTCAGACTTGACGAGCCCCAGGCAACACAGGTACTGGATGACCTGGGAAAGTCAGCCCAGCATGAAGGAAAGACGACCAAAATGTGCTGCCTAGGGCTGTGATCTGATAAGATCCACACCATCCTGTTCTTGGCCTCTCTGCCCACGGCAGCACTTTTCGATTCAGGCACCTGACCAGCGGCAGTAAAAGCAACTCCCCTGTACCAGCAAGCCGTGGGTACAGCAGCTCCTGATGCCCTCGAAGGCTCCCAGACCAGGGTCCCTGATCATGTGACCAGGGATGGAGCCGTGGACTGAGACTGGGGGACGGGGCAGCCAGGCCGAACCCGAGGCCCACGGACCTGGGTCTCCCGTGTTCCCACTGGGCACCGTCCACGCACCTCTGCAGCAGCGGCTCCAGCCAGCCCTCGTGGCACTCGCAGTGGCAGTCCAGGAAGGTGAGGACATCGGCCTTGGCCCCCGAAGCCCCGAGCAACCGGGCGCGCACCAGGCCCTCCCTCTTGGTGGCACGGATGAGGCGCACCTTGGGCAGGTGGGCCAGCTCGGCTTCCAGGCGCTCCTTCAGGTGCTCTGGGGAGGAGAATGGGGCATCCGGCTCACTCCCGCCCTGCCCGGGCAAGGGAAGGCTGGGATGGAGAACTCTAGAACCACCAGCAACGTTCCCACGTGCCCCCCTTGGACCCAGACTCCCAGGTCTCAGGACTGTCAGGACTTGGTGCCCAGCTGGTTCTATCGGCATCGCCTCACGCTCACCTGCCCTGCACTCTGTCATGGGCAACGCTGTCATGGGCAACGCTAAATGACCCCGAATACTCTTCCCACGATTTCCAGCCGAGCACATGGCCACCACCCCAAAGACATCAGTCACCCAGGTTAAGATGTGTGATCCCCAACGCCCCACCTGGTCCTCTGAGCACACCAGGAGTGAGCCCTGAGCACAGTGCCAGGAGCAAGCCCGGAGAACGGCCCAGCGGGCCCCAGAACAAACAAGCGAGACTACAGTCCTGAGCGTCCCCTGCAGCCAGGTGTGGCCAGGTGACTGTTCTTCTGCAGGGTGGGAGGTGAGACCCCCTACTAGGTGCTGCCCAAGTCCCCTGGACACCCTTCAGTACAGGTGGGAGTGAGAGAGAGAGGGGAGGGGCAAGGCTGGGGCATCCCAGGGAGCACAGCACCCCAAAGAAGGCGAGTGTTCACCCCTGTCCCCACCCCTGGCCCCCACACCTGCCTCCACACCTGCCCTCACACCCTCCCTCACAGTTGGCCCCCAACACCTCTCCCCCACCTCTGTCCCCAAGACCTCTCTCTCACACCCACCCCCCAACACCTGCCCTCTACACCTGTTCCCCCATGCCTATAGCCCATACCTATCCCCAACACCTGTCCCCCACACCTGCTCCCACACCTGCCCTCTACAGCCATACCCCAACTGCACGGAGACGTTCCCTGTTATCTCCTGTAAATCACTGTTATCTAGAGCCTCCCAGAGAACAGCCCAGCACAGCTTTCAATTAGAACCCGTCTACAGTGAGAACCAGACAGAGCTCAGAGGCAAGAGCAGGGGAGGGGAGGATGGGCGTCAAGGGAGGGCGGGGTGGGGGGAGCGGAGGCCAGGGCAGGGTAGAGGGGAGGCCGGGCACCTCTATCGCTGTAATCATCCACCAGGATGACCTCCTCCAGCAGGATGTCTGGGGACGTCTCGAGGACACTGTAAACGGTGCGAAAGAGGGTTGACCAAGCTTCGTTATAAAACACGATGATCACGGACGTCGTTGGCAGACTTTCATAATCGTACTTCTGCTCTCTGCACCTGCAGAAGCAACACAGCCTCAGGGACGGGGAACACCCTGCACCGGGGCATCCCAGGCCTGGCACGGTGCTTCGAAGGACCTCTGAAGGGAACGTCAATCATGGTTGAGACCTGCCATAGAATTTGGCCGCATCTTCTAGAAATGCTTTGCCTTGGAGCCTCCTGGAAGCCTCGGTAGCTCCCAAGAAAGGTTGTACAATGACACCCAAAAAGCCTGAAGTCACTCTGGTAAGGGCAGGCTGGGTCTCCCTATAAGTCGTACTGTTGACATGGCCTCCAGGGCCAGATTGCCCAATGATGAACCTGGCTCAGATCCAATGCTACAGGGCCATCCCTGGGCGGGATGGGATCCCCCAGAGCCAAACGTGATGGTGCCCAGGAGGCAGGCAGTGTCCAAGGAGGCACTTGGGTCTTTTCACACGGTCCCCTGACCCTGAGCTCTCTCCCTGCTCTGAGGTTGTGTATTTAAGCTGGGCAGCAACGCTCACAGTTGTGCCACCCAAAACCTAGGCAGGCTCCAAAGACAGGAAAACGGTTCCATCCTCAGGCTGTGCAGGTTTCACCTCTGTCCACTCCCACTTCAACCCCACTGCCCAGCTTCTACTCAGCTCTCTCCTCCTCTGCCTGGCACCCTCACTGCCCTCCTTCCAGAACCACCTGGAAAAAGCCCTGTGTGGAGAACACCTGTGTGGGGTGGCCGCTCCCTCCGGCCGTCGCCCGTTCCTGCATACCACAAACTCATGTACCCTCCACTCATCCCCTCCTCCCATGCCCCAAGTCTCCTCACAGACATGTTTGACTCATGTGAGGCTTGGGGCTGGGGCACAGGAATGCTAGGGACTCTGGTGGACACCACGGGGCAGCCTTGTGGGGAGAGGAGGTTCGGGAACACGTATATCTGGCCGAGAATCAAATCCATCTCTGATGGTGCGGCACAGGGTCACTGTGGGCTTGTGCTGTCTGGGGAGCCTGTGGGCAGTGAAGGGTTCCACACTGGGGTGAGGCTCTGGGCAGAGAAATTCCATCCAGTCCTTGAGAGGTTTGGGAAATACCTGGAGGTTTGCAGGGTCTTTACCTGAGGCATGATCTGGCCACTAGGGGGCCTGGCACCCAGGAAGAATTGGGGGCAAGGTGGGGGCTCTTCCTGGTGGGCACTGCAGCGGGGGTGTAGACACAACAGGCACCATGGGCATGTCATGTCAGGTTCTGATCCATGGTGAGACCCCCACAGGACAGCTCATGCTTCATCAAGAAGCATGAGCCGTTCCCTGGCAGGACCCGCCCCACCCAATGCCACACGCCCACACAGGCTGGGATGCATCCATTTGGAGAAACAATCTTGGAAACAGGACAGTGGCTGTCAGGGAGAGTGATTCAGCCCTCTCCCCTCTCTCTCCTCTGCCACCAATTCATGATCCCCTAAACTGTCCCAGGTAGTGCCTAGAACTCAGTTGCTGACTGTTCCAGCCTCCATCCTTTTCAGGACGTCCTTTCCCAGAATAGAAAAAGTGCACTGGAGGAGGGGGAGCTCTCGGCTCAGACTTTTGCTTGGTCTGTAGCCTATGATTCTGTCTGCCAAGCCTAAGGGGAGGGAACCAAGCAGGCAACAAGAGGCAGAAGCGAAAAACTAGGCAGGACCTCTGAGAGACCCACTCTAGGAGGAGGCCAAGATGGATGGGTCAGTAATCACCAAATTTGACAAGAATCAAATGTGAGGTTTGCTCTGACAAAATGCTGAGCAAAACCAAATGGCAACCGGCTGAGTGGACAGCAACATTCCTGGAGTCAGAGATCACCTTGTCCCAGGTGAGGAAGACAAGACTTATCGCCCACCTGGTGACAGGAAGCCACCAGGCTTCATTCCAGGTTCCTTACCATTGACCCACGAACAGATGACTAGGAGCAGACCAAGACAACCCCAAAGGCCCCTTCATCTAACCCAGGGCGCGGGTGTACCGTTGCCTCACCTGAGGTTCGGAGAGTCCACCCGGGAGCGCCCCCAGTAAGATACTCCTATTTCCTTAACTTTATTTCTATGTCTCTGTCCCTCTGTATGACCCGGACAGCGTTCCCAACTCTCTCACCGAGGAAGAGAGTGAGAGCAGTTTGCCCGAGCAGGAATGGAAGAGGCTCACGGGAACGCTCAAACAATGGAGCTTAGAAACTGGAGTCACTACTGTGGGAGCACCTGAGAGCAGTAGGCACCACTGTTTGTTAGATGAAAGTTGTTACCGCAGAATCGAGGTAGCCTGTAAACAACTTACATAATTATGCTCTGACCTGCTAATGCCCGTTTGGGGGTAGCTGGATAGAGCCTGCACACGTGGAATACACTGGGATGCTTCCGGCAAACTCTTGGGTGCCACATGTGTCTTGGTGAGACTCTGTATGATCCTAAAAGGAAAAACTCCAAAGACAGTCGTTCAATGGGAGAACAGCTCTCCCCACCGGCAAGGGGTGAGAGGGGTCAAGCTGCTGATCCCCACAGTCTCCCAGCTCCCCAAACCTCAAGGCAAACCTGGACTTGGTGTTTCCAGAGCCCAGGGACCCAGAGGCCAGACACGGGGAGCTAAGCCCAGAGCCCCGTAGAGGCTGCGAGAGGGTGTGCAGGACAGGGTGAGTTGTGCAGAACCGTGAGAGTGAATGGGCGACCCCAGGCCCATGGTGCAGGTAGAGGGGCAGGGCTATGAACTGGGCACCGAGGGGTAAACCAGGAGCTGCCTGTGACTGCCCTGGGCTGCCTTACCAGGAGTGTGACTCCCAGTAGAAATGTGACTGGCAGGAAGGGGCATGGCTGACCAAATTCCTGGAAATGACTGGAACAGGATGGCTCTTCTTTCTGAGGCTTTTCCATCTGGTCTGACACATGGATCTGGACACAATTCTTGTCACCAGTAGAGTGTCACTCAGCCAAGGCTGTCCCATCAGGTCCAGGCGTGCAGGAACAAAGAGGAGTCAGGGCCTGGTTCTCTATTTCATGGGGTCTGACCGTGCTGTGATGGTGGCGGTGGGACTTGTATTAGGGAACCCGATGGTCCACACAGAAGTGGGGCGCTATTCTCAGGGATCAGCTCTGTACAGACTCGGGGACACTAGAAACATGTTCCATCCACGGCCCCATCCTGCTCCACTGATAACACAATGTCTTCCTGCCAGGGCAGGTGCCATGGAGAGGGGCCCTGGCTGAGGGGACAGCACCTTGGACCCACCTGCTGCAGGAGCACTTTCAAGTTCTCATCCTGAGAAACCTGATGTGGCCACTAGGGGGCAAAGTGGGGTCTGTCCCTGGTGCACTGCAGAGGGGAATGGGGAAACAGGCTCCAGGGGCAGGGGAGGCCATGGAGGTGCTGCAGTGGAAGGCAGGGCTCTGGGTGCTGCATCCTGCCCTCCCTCCTGGGGACGCATCCGTGATTGAGACCTTCAACCCTTGGGGTGGACTCTCCTGGGGTCATTGACAGGCTTCACACAGGGGCAGGCAGGTGAAGCGTCTTGGCATGGTGACATGGCCGAGGCTTCCCACAATCTAGAAGCAACTGTCAACTACTGGCCAGACCTGCCCCGCCCAGTGACACCCACACCCACACAGGCCTGGGATAGATCCATTTATTGCAACAATCGTGAAAATCAGACAGTGGCAGTCAGGGACAAAGCCCGCCTTCCTCCTTCCCCTCTTCTCAGCCAGCAATACAAAGTCCCCAAACAGCCCCAAAGAGTGTGTAGAATCCGGTCACTGTATGGTACCAGCGGCCGAGCTTCAGGGCTGTCATGCGCAGAAACAGGACCCCACAATGGGGAGGGGAGAGCTGAGTTGTAACTTCTGACCTCCAAATCATTGTTTGCTAGTGCTGGCGCGATATAACTGCCATCCTGATCCCTCTGACCTTGTGGAGGGGGACATCTCGGCCCCTCCAATACCTGGGGTCTAGTGTGAGGGGACACATCGGCACCCCCCGATCCTGGCATCTAGTGGTGGGGGGCATCTCTGGCCCCCCTCGATCAATGGCGTCTACTGGTAGGGGGAGGCATCTCTGCTCCCCCATCCTTGGCGTCTAGTGATTGGGGGGGCATCTCTGGCCCCACCGATCCCTGGCGTCTAGTGGTGGGGGCCATATCTGCCCCCCTGATCAATGGCGTCTAGTGGTGGGGGGGCATGTCTGGCCCCCCCTCGATCAATGGCGTCTAGTGGTGGGGGGAGGCATCTCTGGCCCCCCCGATCCCTGGCGTCTAGTGGTTGGGGGGGCAACTCTGGCCCCCCCAATCCCTCGTGTCTAGTGGTGGGGGGGCATCTCTGACCCCCCATCCCTGGCATCTAGTGGTGTGGAGGCATCACTGGCCCCCCCGATCCCTGTTGTCTAGTGGTGGGGGGGCATCTCTGGCCCCCCGATCCCTGGCGTCTAGTGGTGGGGAGGCATCACTGGCCCCCCCATCCCTGGCGTCTAGTGGTGGGGGGGCATCTCTGGACCCCCGATCCCTGGTGTCTAGTGGTGGGGAGGCATCACTGGCCCCCCCGATCCCTGTTGTCTAGTGGTGGGGGGGCATCTCTGGCCCCCCCGATCCCTGGCGTCTAGTGGTGGGGAGGCATCACTGGCCCCCCCATCCCTGGCATCTAGTGGTGGGGGGCATTTGTGGCCCCCCCGATCCCTGGTGTCTAGTGGTGGGGGGGCATCACTGGCCCCCCCATCCCTGGCGTCTAGTGATGGGGGGGCATTTCTGGCCCCCCCGATCCCTGGTGTCTAGTGGTGGGGGGGCATCACTGGCCCCCCGATCCCTGGTGTCTAGTGGGGGGGGGGCATCTCTGGCTCCCCCTTGATCCTTGCCTTCTAGTGGGGGGGGAATCTCTGCCTCCCCTGATCCCTGGCGTCTAGTGATGGGGGGGCATCTCTGGCCCCCCCTTGATCCTTGCCCTCTAGTGGGGGGGGAAATCTCTGGCCCCCCCAATCCCTGGAGTCTAGTGGGGGGGGCATCTCTGGCCCCCCCTTGATCCTTGCCCTCTAGTGGGGGGGGAAATCTCTGGCCCCGCCCGATCCCTGGCGTCTAGTGGTGGGGGGGCATCTCTGGCCCCCCCTTGATCCTTGCTCTCTAGTGGGGGCGGAATCTCTGCCCCCCCACCCGATCCCTGGCGTCTAGTGCTGGGGGGGATCTCTGGCCCCCCCTTGATCCTTGCCCTCTAGTGGGGGGCGGAATCTCTGGCCCCCCCAATCCCTGGCGTCTAGTGGTGGGGGGGCATCTCTGGCCCCCCCTTGATCCTTGCCCTCTAGTGGGGAGGGGAATCTGTGGCCCCCCCCGATCCCTGGCGTCTAGTGGGGGGGGGCATCTCTGGCCCCCCCTTGATCCTTGCCCTCTAGTGGGGGGGGAATCTCTGGCCCCCCGGTCCCTGGCGTCTAGTGGTGGGGGGGCATCTCTGGCCCCCCTTTGATCCTTTCCCTCTAGTGGGGGGGAATCTCTGGCCCCCCCCGTTCCCTGGCGTCTAGTGGGGGGGCATCTCTGGCACCCCCATTTCCTGGGGTCTAGTGGAGGGGGAAACTGTGCCCCTTGATCCCTGGGGTGCCTTGGGGTGGGGACATTTCTTACCCCACATCTCGTGGTCTAGTGGATGGAGACTTTACTGTCCCCCTGATCTCCCGTTTCTTGAGATGGGTAATAGTTGTGCCTTTGCCCTGATCCCTGGTCTTGCAGTGAGGGATATCCGTGGTTCTAGTGGAGGGAGAAGAGCAAAGGGCCAAGGCAGAAGGCAGAACTCGGGTGGCGTGGGGAGGACGGGGCTGGGCTAGATCAATTGGGTGAGAGCAGCAGCGTGCGTCGGTGCAGTAAAATCGAGGTGTCAGCGGGGTGTCAGGCTGCCAGTGCAGTTCTTGCTGACCAGCTGCGTTTTCTGGATTTTCGGCGGGTCATTACGGGACCTGGGTCCGATGTGGGTGGACTCCTCTTCCTTAAGGACAGCAACAGGAGCGTCTCTGGATCTCACACAGGCCATGGTCCCTGCCCCCTGGGACTTGACTGACTCCTCCAGCTCCTGGACTCTGGCACTCCTCCTGCCTGGCCTCCTGTGCCTCCTCCTTGTCTGTGGCCTCCAGCTCCTCACGTTTTGTGTCCAGGAGCACCTGTGTGTTGTTCGTCTCCACGCCAATCCCTTTGGAGTGGATGGGATGTGGGGCAGCATAAGGGTCTCAGCCAAGCAGGGGAGGTGGGGGGCTGGGGGTGGGGCCGCCTGTCTCCCCTCCCCAGTAGCCCCACCCTCTGACCCAAAGGGGCTTCTCCCTGTCACTCACCCTTTTCCGGGTCTCCTTTCCACTTTACCAGGTTCTGCAGCTGCTGTTTCTGCTGCTGAGTCCCACAGAAGAGCACCTGGGGTGAAGGCACTAGGTGAGGAGGCAGGTCTAGGGCCTTCCTGCCCCAGAGCCCGTGGCCCCTCTCTCACCTGGTCTCCCTCAGCTCCCTGATGGCGGCCTCCTCAGGGCCTGCTGCCTTGGTGGCACCTGCAGCAGCTGGTCTATGGGCTGCTTCTGCCGCAGCATCCGCTGGTACAGCTGTTCCTCCTTGGAGCCCAGGTGACTGCGGGCATCCAGGTGCTCTTGTCGGCAGCTATGTGCATTTCCAGGTACCAGCAGAAAATTCCCCCCGGAAGCCACTGGCACTGCACCTTTTCGTCGTGCACCGGCATCTGTGGGAGGTAGGACAATGTCTGTGAGGACAGGCAGCAGGGCCGACTACTTCCCAGCCAGGAGATGCAGGGCTCAGACCCTCAGCCACAGGACCCCATGGCGTCTTTGTCCCAGAGCCTAGGAGTTGGGTCTCCCTCTGACTCGGACCCTGACTCCTACCTGGCAACTGCCAACTCCAGAACCCTCTGTGTAGTGTGGGCCAGTCAGTGCCACCACAGCCCTCAGGGCATTCTGACCTGTCCTTCCTGCCATCACCCAAGGCAGGCTCTTGGCCTCACAGGGGGTCTCACCAGCCCATTTCACAGAACAGGAAAATCACAGCCCAGAATATTGAATTGTTATGCCCCAAGAATACCCCAGGGTGGAGGGGAGCTGATGGCCAGCAAACCCCTGCACCCTCTCTCAAAACTCTTCGTGTTCGGCAACTTTTCCTGGGCTCGCAGTGAAGACATGTTGGAATGCTAGGTAATAATTGGAGATGATAGGAGACTCGCTCAGCTCCAAGACTGGGGAATGTTACCCAGACCCCTTCCACTGTTACAGAGACACAACTCGAGCCTGGCCGGGCTCCCGCCCGGCCACCCCACAGCCCTCAGACTCCAGGCGGCACTGTGCCCGCTTCTCTCACCCCAGCTCAGTCCCCTCAGCCCCCACTCGCATCCGCAGTTGTTCTACGGGTTCACCCGTTGTTCCTGGAACCTCCTGCCTCCACCTGTCCTTGGAAATGTTGTCAACGATGTGGCTGTTTTGGGGGCACCCAGAGGCTAGTAAACCTGAGAGGAAGCAGACAGTCAAGGACCCCAGAACTTCAACCGCACCCAAACTTCATGGTCCACAGCCCCGACTCTTGGTTCATCCTGCTCATCTCGGGGGCTGCTCATTTCTCACCCCCGTCTGCTGCTCCGGGCCCCTTGCTAAGTAGATTCTTTCCTGCTTTGGACCCACTGGAGCCCTCCTGGCAGTGCTGGCAGGGACACGAGGGACAACGAGAAACAAGCGTTCTATGTCCCGGCCCTAGAGCTCTCTGCATTTTTATGGTCGTAACATTCTGGGGAGTGGACAGCAGACCCCTTCTCCTCTGGCTGCCCGCAGAGCAGGACACAGGTGCGGAGGAACAGGGAGACTCACCCAGCTCCTGCTCCCAGCCTGTCTCCCCTGTAACAGTGCCCCATTCACAGGGCCCCTCCCTCAACACTCGAAGTCACTCCTCCCCGCCTTGCCCTCCTCAGACATCACATGCTTCAAGCTCCTGGTGCTGTGCACCATCCCAAATCACTCTCCCCTAAAGGATGACGCTCTGCCAAGCAATCTTCCGCCTTTATAAGATACACTTGATGTTTTAAAATTCTGTTCTTTCAGCTCTTTCTGTCCCAAACAAGAGGGGAGGGGTGTTTTCGCACAGTTCGACCCACTGCCAGGAGGGTCTGTGATGAGGGGTCTGGGAGTCGGGGACCCTGCTTTGACTCCCCAGCTCCTCAGTGCTGCCCTGAGCTCCCACCCCCATTGTTTCCTGAGCTGGGTGGACCAGTGTCCAGCCACTCAGGTCTTTGGACAGCAGGAGCCCAGGAGGTCCTATTCTGGGGACAGGAACGGACAGGTCCTGGAGAGGGGCTCTCTGGGGACTCCCATCCCAGAGTCCCGGGAGACCCTGACGAGGACAGAGACTGCTGGGGACAAAACTGCCGGAAGACTTGCTGGAAATGGGCCCGGGCTTGATCCTGTGCCCTCGGGGCCATACACTGACCAGTGCAGGACCAACGCAGGGCCTTTTCTTACCGTCCGTTGCGCTCTGCCAATTTCCAACGTTCCCCTAGAAATGACCCCTAGAGGTGACCCGTAGATGACCCGTAGAAGGGTCAACATCCGGACGTGAGCCCTAGATGACCCCTCGAAGGGTCAACAGGGGGAAGGTGTGTTGGGGCCACTTCTCCCTCAAGCATCCTTGAGAAAGGGTGCCCCGAGGGTCGGGGCCACGAGCTTTTTTATAGGCAGGGAAGGGGGTGTGGCCTCGGGGCTGCAACCCCATTGGCCAGGGAGAAATCTAGAGCTCCCAGGGGTAACCTCACTATGAAGGCTGCACCAGCCTCTGCCCTGGTGGGCCTGACGGGCCTCCCCGCCCCCACCCGGACCCTCGGGCACTGCCCCCTACCGACGATGGTGGCTTGGAACTCTGTGGGCCCCACGGTGGGCCAGGAGCACTGACCCTTTCGGTCTCCCGTAGCTCAGTCCACGACGTTCTCATTCCCAGAGATCACGTCCCCCCATGCCCAGGCTGGGCTGCAGCTGCCAGGATTAGCCCCTGAGCACCCCTAGGTCTGGCCTGGCTGCTGCTGTGGGAGCCCAGCGAGCCTGGCAGAGGGGCTGTCCTGGTCGCTGTCCCCACCGCCCGTCACTCCCCAGGCCCCTCTCCTTTCTCTCCTTGGAGACCCTGCCCTCCTGCCCTTCCTCTATCCTCTCCTCAGGTCCGCAGAGTTCTTGCTCCCGCCTTATCCGGTGTCCACGTTCTCTCTGTCCTCTCACTGCTTCCTCCCAGACTGGCAGCAGCCAGTTTGTGGGGCCATGAGCCCCCAGACCCAGTCAGTCCCTGACCAATAACCCCTGTTGCTCAGAGACTTCCCTTTTTAAGTCCTGGAGGGCTCTTAATGACCCCATAGAACCTCCCAACCCCAGCTCTGCCCCTTTCTCTGAGGCTCAGTCCATCCTACTGGGAGCTGGACACCAGTCTTGGCCTTGGGGAAGCTGGACACTTCTCTGGTGTTGCTCCCAGCCTGTTCTGGAAATCCCTCTCAATACACACACTCCCAACTTGGGCCACTCAGCCTGGCCACGCTGCCCTCACGAGTCCTGCAGCCTGAAAGGAACCCCAACTCCCCCATATCGCCCGTGCCCACTATGGCATCCATGAATGCACCTGTCCTACCTGCCCTGAGCACATTCAGGCCCCAGTGTTCTCCGGCTGTCTACTGTAGCTCTGACATCTCCCCCTCTCACTTTCGCTGGGCTGAGAATCAAATCCATCTCTGATGGTGGGGCACAGGGTCACTGTGGGCTTGTGCTGTCTGGGGAGCCTGTGAGCAGTGAAGGGTTCCACACTGGGGTGAGGCTCTGGGCAGAGAAAGTCCATCCAGTCCTTGAGAGGTTTGGGAAATACCTGGAGGTTTGCAGGTCCTTTACCAGAGGCATGATCTGGCCACTAGGGGGCCTGGCACCCATGAAGCATTGGGGGCAAGGTGGGGGCTCTTCCCGGTGGGCACTGCAGAGGGGGTGTAGATGCAACAGGCACCATGGGTATGGGCATGTCATGTCAGGTTCTGATCCATGGGGAGACCCCCACAGGACGGCTCATTCTTCATCAAGAACCATGAGCCGTTCCCTGGCAGGACCCACCCACCCAATGCCACACACCCACACAGGCTGGGATGCATCCATTTGTAGAAACAATCTTGGAAACAGGACAGTGGCTGTCAGGGAGACTGATTCAGCCCTCTCCCCTCTCTCTCCTCTGCCACCAATTCATGATCCCCGAAACTGTCCCAGGTAGTGCCTAGAACTCAGTTGCTGACTGTTCCAGCCTCCATCCTTTTCAGGACTTCCTTTCCCAGAATAGAAACAGTGCACTGGAGGAGGGGGAGCTCTCGGCTCAGACTTTTGCTTGGTCTGTAGCCCATGAACCGAAGGTTTGAGTGTTGCCTCGTTTTCCCTGGGCCAAGGAGGGGTAGATGGTTGTACCCAAGTGCCGTTTGAAAATCGGATGCTCTAAATGAGTGTTTCCTCTAAGCACTGAGATCCTTCCAAGTACTGCTTCATTGACCCTCATGGCCTGTGTACATACCTGAGAGGTTTGGGGTTTGTGGGGATCTCTATTTGCTCCAGCCTTTGTGATCAGCAGACCCTGTGGTGCCAGGGAACGTTCTTGACCTCAAGCATCCCAAGCCTGTACTGAGTCTCTTGAGACTTCTTTCTGGCCTTCTGGACCGAATTTTAACTCAAAAAGTGGAAAATGCCCTGGACCATGCAAGGACAGTCCACAAACCGGAAATATCTCAACATTTAGGTACTAAAGCAGGGGTGAGATGCATTCTCCACTCCTCTCTCCTGGGGTATCGTCTAAGGTGGGGTGTGGGGAGGTGGTCATTTCTTATTGCTACTCTTTGGACTATTTCTATGGGGGTCAGTATTTCTGCTCTGGGGACTTCTAATTGTGAAGTGTTGGAGGACATGTCTCCTACCTGATCTCTGTTCTCTGTTGTGGGACATTTCACCCCCCAGAGCTCTTGTGTCTAGTATTGGAAAACAATTTCCCCAAAATCCCTAGTTTTTTTTTTCTGGAGGAAATTTCAGCTCTGCTCATACCTGGTGCCAAGTTATTGTGAACATTTCTGTCCCTGGAACCCTGCTGTCTATTGTTACGGGAAACCTCTGCACCCCATGTTACTGGTGCCTACTGCTTAGGGCCTTTATTTGCCTCCCAGACCACTAGTGTCTATTAGTAGGGGACATATCTGCCCCCCACATCCCCGGTGCCCAGTGTTGGGGGACATTTCTGCCTCCAGATGCACAGTCCTCCCCACACCGCCAGCTTGTCCTTCTTGACTGTTACCACCTCCAGCTCCTCGGGCTTTATGATCTCCACTGTGTTTGCCTCCACTTCAGTGCCCTTAGATTGACTGAAACTGGATAGACTGAGGGGCAGCCCCAGGCTCTCAGCCAACCAAGGGAGGTGGAGGGCTCGGGGGCAGAGTCAGCCTGATTCTGTCCTCCCCCACCCCGGGTATCCTGCCTCCTGACCCTCATTGGGGGCTTCTCCCTCCTAAGGACACTGACATTCACAATTTCCGGACACCTTTGTGTCAAAGCAGCAGCCAAGTCCTGTAAACAACCTACATAATCATGCTGTGACCTGCTAATGCCTCTGGGGGATAGCTGGGTAGAGCCGGCACACATGGAATACACTGGGATGCTTCCGGCAAACTCTTGGGTGCCACCTGTGTCTTGGCGA